GGAGCTGCACAGTGTAGTGCAGCGCCTAGCTGATAGGAGCTGCACTACCTTATATTAAAATCGTTGTAACTTTTAATCCGTGCATCCGATGAAAATGTGTCTTATATGAATGTTGTGCATTTTTCTGTGTTCCACGCAATGGTGGCATTTTCATCTATGTTATGATCAATTTTCTTCACGAAAACTCTGTTGCAAAAGTGCATCATAATATGACTGACAGAATCTGCTAAAACTTACAAACTTGGCATGATGATAGCCATTGACCTATAGCTCTTATCCATTTGCATCCTACATGAGTTTTGCACTACGTAATGTGTACTTTCACACCATGCCTTTGCTTGCCATGTTAATAATCTTTAACATGTTCATTTCTTGCATCCAAGTGACTAACATGATATACGTGAACTTTTGTTATAGAAGTTGCATTTTGTAAGAACCATAGTAATTAATCCTGACATCATATGAATATGATCTAACTATGAAATTTGGAAAATCTTATGTCTACTTTAAGTACATGTCATTTTCATACCCACTAAATATTTGCATCACTATGTTTTGGGACACTAAAGTACCTAAGGCAATGTTCTGCCAGACTGACACCTGTTAATTTCACCAAGTCACTTGATGTCAACTGAACTTTGCATTTTGTAAAATGCATTGTAAATCACCATGCTTCATATGGAATAACTTTATATATGAATTTGAGAATCTTCATATCTACTTTCAGTATATCCAGTGTGTTGCCATGTTAAAAACATTTAACCTGATGTTATGTTGCACTAAAGTAGGCATTATAATGTTGTTGACAAATTTATTGCATATCTTGACTCTTGAGTTTTACAAAACCCCTTCGCATGAACTTGATATGTTTTCCGTTTAGAATTTTGTGTAGATCGATTTAGCACGAGGCCGTCATGGGTTATCAAGTTCAAACCAACTCACACCGTACGCAATACAAGCAGCTGGAGCTTTTTCAGTAGCCTAAAAATAGATTCCAAATCAGAGAACATGTGCTCTTGCTACTGACAGCAAACATTATAGGTACTAAGTTTTAAGGGTATATAAGTACATATCTTTAAAAAATAGTGGTGCATATATTAGTGTTAAGGGTATATAAGTACATATCTTTAAGGGTATATAAGTACATATCTTTAAGGGTATATTAGTTCTAAGGATATATAAGTACATTATAGGTACTGTTGATATCCATGGACTTGGTGATAATAACTAGTGTCAATCTAGCAGAACATTGCCTTAGGTACATTAGTGTTTCAAAAAATAGTGGTGCATATATTTAGTGGGTATGAAAATCACATGGACTTAAAGTAGACATAAGATTTTTCTAACTTTCATAATTAGATCATATTCATATGATGCCATGATTAATTACTATGGATCTTACAAAATGCAAGTTTCTGTAACAGAAGTTCATTTATATCATGTTAGTCACTTAGATACAAGAAATGAACATGTTAAAGATGATTAACATGACAAGCAAAGGCATGGCGTGAAAGTACACATTACGTAGTGCAAAACTCATGTATGATGAAAATGCATAAGAGCTATAGGACAATGATTATCATCATGCCAAGTTTGTAAGTTTTAACAAATTATGTCAGTCATATTATAATGGACTTTTGCAACAGAGTTTTCATCAAGAAAATTGATCCTAACATAGACGAAAATGCCACCATTGCGTAGAACACGGAAAAATGTGCAACATTCATATAAGACACGTTTTCATTGAATGCACGGATTAAAAGTTACAACAGTTTTAATATAAGGTAGTGCAGCTCCTTTCACCTAGGCGCTGCACTACCTATGCAGCTCCTTTGAACTAGGTGCTGCACAATCAGGAGTGGGGCCTGGGGTGCCATGCTGGTCAGGTGTGTCTTGCCTATCAGTAAGGCGCTGCATAGTATAGTGTAGCGCCTACTTGTCGGGGGCCACACAAAAGGATCGCCTGATGAAATTTGTTCATTCATGATTCACATTGTGAAATTGTTTCGCCCATAGGTCAATTTTGTTCATTCTGCCGTGGTGGTGCCACTAGCTAGGAAGGACCACCACGACGCATGCGCGCCACCGTGCACCGGGCCGGGGCGAATGGATGAATGATTGATTGATTTTGCGCTTGTACTATATTACAGTACAATACGTCGCAGGTGCACGATCACACGATGGTTGGGACGAGAGCACACACCCATTAAGCTGGATGTGTACGTCGGCAGTATATCTGCACAGCACGCACGCACGCTCGCTCAAAAGCGGTAGTTGTGGTGGGGGATCATTGCACTGCATTTTTAGACCGGTGACGTGACAGTCAGTGAGTAACCACCGCCACCACTTCCTCCTCCCTTTTTTTAGGGTCTTCCTCCTCCCTTTCTTCGTTGGTGTCATCGATCGTGTGCGCAGGAGGACAGACAGCCTTTTCAACTACACACTTGCATTCATCCATATATATGTTGCACTTGATGATGAATATCTCGTTTTTCTTGTCCTTTGCGCCATGGAAGTACACTCCACCATCATCATCTTCATGCGACACGTCGGCCTAGGCCTCAAGTTAGTAGTAGTACTGCCTATGCGGCGGATAAAGCGCCCTATAAGAAGAAAAACCATTTCAAGGATGACTTTTTTTTTCCTACGGAGGATTGAGGGGCAGCTGCTATGTGTTATCTCGCTTATAACTTAGCCGCCTCCTCAACCGTTGGATCACAACACTCATCAGGCGAGCAGCACCCATTGTAACATCCCCCATGTCGCGACGCTCTCGGGCAGCGCACACTGCAACACGCCCCATGTCGCGGCGCTCCTGAGGACCACACATTGCAACACCCTCCAAGTTACGATGCTCCCGAGCACCATGCAGTGCCATGCTCTCCTCCAACCACAACAACACGACCTTCGTTGCAGAAGGATGCTCTCGTGCTCCCGAGAACAACACATTGCAACAGCCCCGACGTTGTACAAGCACATCGCCGCAACACCACCATCGTTGCACCGCCGACGCTGCTACCCAGACGACGTTGCATAAGCCACATCGTTGGAACACGATATCGCGCCTTTGCAGCATTAGGTGTGTGCCACCCATGCAACACCGATTGATAGATCTATGCACCAGTTGTTGCAAAGGAAGGAGAAGCAGATACGCCTCGCCGGCAACATCGGGAGGTGGATGGAGGAAATGGAGAAGAGAGTGATAGAGATTGGAGAGGGATAAGTCGCTCTCTCGGGATCGATGGACGTGCAGCTGTTGAAGGGATAAGATCAGGGATGGAGGCCCACAGGGCACTTGTCGCATGCTGGAGGTAGTGGACTGGTGAGAGAAAATCAGTTGGCAGGATACAAGTGTTTTCCTTACACGTGAGGTGGTGCTATTGGCTTAATGTCAATAGCCTAAACCTCTAAATCTCGGAAGAAACAAACAATTTTACTGTTCATCCACACTCACTGTTTCGCATCGACTGGCGACAGCATCGGAATTCATCTCCAATCGGACGGCTGACAACGCTTGGTGCCTGACGGCAGGATACCCATGGGGTAGGTCCATAACAAGAATTTGTCCTAGGGGGCCTAAACGGCCCGAGTCCATATCAGGAGATCATTCAGTTGGGCCGGCATCACGAACTCCATCCGGCTGACTTGAAGCATGACGTCAATCTAACTGGACCAGTTCTGGGCAATCACACCATGTGTCTCTAACGATGCCATCCAGACAGCTTCCTTCCCCTCAAAAAAAATCCAGACAGCCTCCTTGCATCGTGGTAAATCATGTAGTAATTGTCATCATCATGGCGTTGTTATTACAACATGGCTCATGAAGACATTGTACCCTTCATCCTTGTGGGCTCCATATAAGGCGAGGAAGATCTAGACAAGTTTTTTGGATGGATTGACAAGACCCAGATAGACACACATGCACACAAGTGTTAGGCATCATTGTAACCACATTGTTCGTACGAGATCAAAACATCTACCAGGAGTGGGGTGTTATCCCTAGTACACGGGCCCGAACTTGGGTAAAGCCGCTCTCGTGTGAAATCTCATTCCTAGATCATCCATGTCCGCCTTGCCTTACCAAAACATTGTAAATCATGTGTATTGTCGTGCAATCCCCATGACAGTGCTGCTTCGCACCGATGATTAATCTCATGGTCATTGTTTGATGATCAGATGTTTCCCACACGTCAACGGCACAATAGCTCACCTTATTCTATTCCAATTTCTCGCCAAGTTCATGCCTTCCTTAGCTGTTCCTTATTCTAAATTTAGTGCCAGTTAGTCTGAATATTACTAGAACCTGTCACCCAATCAAACATTTATCCACAAGTTTTGGGCTACAACCTGAAAAAAGTGACAGTAATTTTTAACATCCCTCCTCTAGAGAGGTAGCCGACGCAAGTAGAAAACAACCATGCCGGTTCTCAACAGTTTGGAAGCCATCTTTTAACTTCCGATGATACCTCATACCTCACAGGCGACTCTTTCAACACGAATGGCGTTCGTTACAAAGCTCAGCAAAACACCATCATCTTTGTAATAAAACTACTAAAAGGAGAGAGAGAGAGAGAGAGAGAGAGAGAGAGAGAGGAGCTATATACACAAGGAAATGTCAAGTTAACTACACAGAGCAGTGCTGGAAACTAGCTAGTTGCAAACTTAATGTGCTGAGTTCTCCAACAGGAAGCTTCGTATCAGAAAGGAACAACATATGGCAGAGGGATGACGTCGGCCGGGTCGGTCTTCACAGCCTCAGCCCACACTTGGGGCACTCCGTCGGCCTCCGTCTCCGCTTTGGGCTTCTCTGGCTGGGTGCTACAACCTACAATCATCGAACTGAGCCAGTCCTGATCACCATGAGCGGATTCAGTGATCCGAGTTCTTCAGGGATGCTATATGTCTGCCCAAGAACTTGCAATCCGGGTGAGACGACTTCCTAGCAGCTGTACCATTCACTCGTCTATTTTTATTTTTATGGATCAATGGAGAATTATGAATCAGTCGGTGCAGATGGTGGTTACGGCGCCGGGGTCCATGGCGGTCTCAAGCTGGCGGAGAGGAAGGGAGGATGGCAGGGAGAAGGCGCCGACCATGCCGCCCACCTTGCTGAGCCCGTCCCAGCCGATGTGCCCGACGTGCTGCACGTCGGTGGGGTACCCAATCACGATCTCCCTCTCCTCGTCCTTGTCCTCCTCCTGGCTGTCGTACGCCGCGAAGAAGGTCTTGATCCCCTTGAGCAGCCGCTGCACCCCCGCCGAGACGATCCTCTCTTTCGCCTTCTCCTCGCCGCTGTTTCCTTCCTCTTGGAGGACTCTGTCTGAGTCTGAAATGGGCCACCGATAGATGTTCTGCTGCTGTTAGTATGCGCACGTACCTGTGGCATCGATCATGGTCTGAATTATAATACGAGACTGGTCACTTACCTTGTGTGGTGGTGGAGGAGGAGGAGGGGTTGCCGGCCTGCTGCTGCTGCAGCGCCGGCACCGAGGCCTTCTTGTCGAGCGGGTCGGCGACGGCGACGGCGCACTGCGACATGCAGCCGATGGAGAAGGGGAAGCCACGGCGGTCCTTCATCGGAGCCGGATATTGTTACTGAGACTATGGAGGGTCTGACAGAGGGTAGATTGGGTTGGGCGAGGGGGAGGAAAGATGCAGGCATAATAATGGTGTTGGGTTCTTGGCTGAGCGTATCTTATAGCCAGGGCACGGAAGGAGAGGGAGACAGGGCATCATCAATCAAATAGGTTAATATTGGTAGCATGGTATTGTGGAGATCAATCAGGAACGACGATCTTCGTGTGGACTAATTGCTTTTCTCTGTGTTTTCTGCTGGTGCCGAGGCTGGGACGTGCACATCAATCAATTGCGTTAAAATTCCTTTCAAAAGGGTTGGATGAGCTCGATTTGGCGCCATCATTTCGCTAGTGGACGTAGCACAGCGACCTCGATCTCCTTTTTTTTGTGTGTGTCCTTGGCTATGTAATCTTTTAATCATTTTTACTACATGCATATTTAGTGGGCGTGTCACTCTGTGGAAATGTATCTTGCTGTTCGGGAAGAGGAGCCCTCTTGAAAAGTTGCCATGAAGAAGGTCATCAAAGTCGTAAAAGAAGATTAAACATATGTTTTCTTCGGATGGACTGCTGATTAGCATGCTCTGCAGGTACGTGCAAGTAAGATGCTTGCGCCGCAGGTTCAGCGCCCGTGCAACAGTTGGCTGCATGCAGGCTGAACGATTCGTACTAGTATCATCTGGGAACCGAATGATATAAAGCCTGTCTGCTTTTGATTGAGGGACCCTCTTTTGACCTTATTTTTCTTCTTCTGAAAAAAAAACAACCTTGATCATCATCTGGTCTGAATGAAATCCGCAGCAGCAATTTGATAATGAGATTTTGGTGAGGTTAAACAGTCGGCCTCTCCGCTACTCTTGTGCAATTTGGCAATATTAAAAGCGTGCAACATGGCCATATGCGTGAAACAAACATTCTCTCCCTGTGTCTGTGTGGCTGGCTGGATCACTTGCCTTGAACACCAACCAAGCTCGGCCGGGCGGCCATGCATGTTGAGCAGAGCAGAGGAGCATGCGGATGCAGTGCAACCAAACGATGGTGCTGTCGGGCGGAAGCAGGCGTGCACGCTGCCTTGGCTTGGCTTCACACGGGGGAGAAGACTGGGGAGAATTGGACAGGGAATCTTTATGTTCATATGGAAAATGCTCTCGGGGACCTACAACTTAGTCTCTGAAATTTTAACAAAGACGAAAAAGAACACCTTTTTCTTTTAATCATTGTATATATATAAGTTTCCCGGAATGAACCTGCAGGAAGCCGACGACCGCCTCCTTTCTTCCTTTGCAGTTTCCCGCAAAAGAAAGAAAGAAAGAAAGAAGCAATCAATCGATCGATCCAATAGGATGCGATTAACGGGCCGTATGAAGGTCTGTAGAATTGGGTGCAATCAGTGCAAGCGATTCATCCATCCATCTCTCCTCTTCCGCTAGCTGCTCTGCTCCGGCGCACACTCCAAATACATGTCCCTGACAAGCAAGGAAAGAAAAAACTAGTGCAAGGTTGGTTGTTGCAGTGAGCACGTCGACGCCGATCCGATCCCAGGCCAACACAGATGCCGAGTTGGTGGTGAAAAGACAATACAACCCCACGGCGATAGATAGATAGATAGATCAATCAAAGTGAAATGTTTTTCTGCGTGAAAGCTACCGCTCACTTACCAGATCTCGCTGCTGCTGCTACTAGTTACTCCATGTCAACGCTAGCATGCATGCAGCCAGGCCGACGTGTCAACATCCCGGCCGACACTACAGGGACAGTCGTGCCAATGCCAATGCCATGCACAGTTGCAATTGCAAGCTAGCCAAGGCAAAATTTCGTGTTTTGGCCCTTTTGTATACAAATTCAAGATCTGACCCCGGTTCGAAAAAAATTCGGGATTTGACCCTTTCGCTACCGCCAGGGGAGCTGGCAGTAGGGTTATACAGCCTACCGCCAGCGCCCTTGGCGGTAGGGTGCGACGGAGGGGGACGGTCGTCGTCCCCGCGTGCTGAAGTGGATTAGCACCCTATTGTCAGGGAACCTGGCGGTAGGGTGTGCAAGGGTTTTTGCCTCGAAAACCAGTGGCGGAGCTAGACCAAAATCATTGGGGGGACGAAAC